GAGGTGACGGTTGGTAACTTGGGGAACACAGCTGCCTAGAGATGCGCGACAGCCTGGGGACCCAGCCTGGGCGGGGGCGCCACGTAGGCTACTCGGGCGTCGAGGAAGGGAAGTTTCCAGTTCTCTGCAGGTACCGAGAGGACGCTTACTCCTTCCTTCCAAGGCTAGGGATTGCCCAAGAGAGCAGGTAGCCCTTCCCAACCTTTCTCATTTGAATACATGAAAATGCTAGTTGATTTTGGCAAGGTGACCTAGCTCAAGGCCAGAAGGACGGTTTTGTCGCCCGAGGGCAAGGCCGGGTAGGGAACAGCTCCGGCTCCGACATCCGGCTGCGGGCCAGCCAGGCCTGAGCCCCAGGCCTCTCAGAAACCCGGCGGCGGCTCCAGGAGCAGTAAGGGAAAGGACAAACCCAGAGATAAAGAATTGGGATTAAAATATTACACTAGATTTTTTTTTTTTTTCAGTACAAACATTGGGCCAGGGCGCGGCCCGGAACCTGAGATTTCTCCGCCCGAAACTGCCAGACAAGGCTGGTAAGGTGGTCCCAGGGCCCCTATCTCCTTAGGGTCGGACGCCGTGGGAGTTGTGAATCAATTTCCTGACTAATAATGTAACGATCGAAGGAAAGGCAGAGGAAGGAAGATAAGAGAAAACAAAGAAAAGTAAAGGAAAAGAAGAAAGGCCGTGAAAGAACGGGAGCTCGACGTTTCTCCTCTCCTGGCCCCCTGGGCGCAGTGCGCCCCAAAGTCTTGGGCTGCGGCGCCTCCCGAGTCGTGGGCTGGAGGCTGAAGGCCAGCGCTGGGGGCCGCTCTCTGCGGCGCCCGGGCCCCTTTCCCGACTCGGACACACACCTCGGTTCGCGAAGGCCAGTCACACGCAAGTGCAAACAGTTTGCTTTCGGCGTCTCAGGCCACCCTCAGTCCTAAACGGACCCGAGTCCCAGTGCAGGTCTGCTTTGAACCACGTGAAAGACAGCTGGTCTCAGTTTCCTAGCATCTGATTCTGCCCCGCAGGCGAAGGCTGTAAACTTCTAATCTGGGTGGCAGGTGGGGGTGTGCGGAGAAGGAGGTCGGACCACCCTGCACCGAGGGCGGCTGGGCCCACGTCGGTCGAGACCCGGCCACAGCCAGCTGTGGGGAGGAAGGTCGGTGGAGGTAGGGGACAGACTAGGGAGACCCCCAGAGGGAAGTCCTCGGAAGGCTCCACAGAGCCCCACAGAGGCCCGCTGCCACTGCTCCCTGCGCACCCCGCAGTCTGGCTAAATGGGAAGGACCCCGGCGCAGCCACTGACAGAGGGCTGGGCCCAAGGCCTGAGGCGCGAGCCGTCTCTCGCCGTCGTCACCCCTTGCTTCTCCCAGCCCTGGTGAAGATCTGAGGAAGGAGATCCCAGCCAGGTAATACTGGGAAAGGGCAGCGAGGGTGGCCGAGTTTGGCGGGTGAATGTCGTACCGCCCGCCGCCACAGCCGGGACTGCGCTGGGAGCGGACCCCAAAGGCGCAGAAGGCGCATCTTTCGGGAAGGGCGGGGCCGCTTCCTCAGCCCCAGGCCCCCTGGACGGTCGTCGCACCACCTTACGGACCGCTGCGGCTCACACCGACTGAGGAGCTTGCCTTCCCCTGGGCCGCACTTAGCTGGCGCACACCCATCCTAGCCGAGCGGGATCCGCCCGAGACGCCCCAGCAGCCGCCACGTGGCTGCCCTCGAGTCCACCCAGCCTCCCGAGGAAAGCACAGCACAGCCTCCTGCAAAGCGTAAAGACAGGGCCTATTTGGGAGACGAGGTTTTGTGACGAGTAGACTACAGCAACCAGGCATGGCACCTGGCAACCTACCGGCCAGCAATCCTGAGACTGCAGCTTTATTTTATTTGTTTGTTTGTTGTTTATTTTCTAAATCAAAGACCCGGCATGGCCCTGATGATTCGCTTTTAAAACTCTGGGAAATGACTGGCTGGCATCTGAGTACCCTAGAACTTCACTTCCTAAATTTGTTAGGTGTGTTGGAATATCGCCGCTGAGATGAAGAAAGGCTGGGAGCTAACCCAGCCTCCTTCTTGGCTGCCGGCAGTCAGCTCTATGAACTAAAATCTCAGGCTAAGGGAGGAGTGCGGAGTTCCAGACTCCCCTGGCTCTGCTCTCCGGGGGCGCCTGCAGGAGGATTCAGCGCCCCCCCCTCCCCGCCCCTCCTCGCCCCTCCCCTCCCAACATAACAGGAGCTGCTGTGAGCCGGGTAATTCCTCCAGCGGCGACCCAGGAACTCTAAAGATGGGTCAGTGCTCTACAGTTGTCAGAGCCCACTCTTCACCACCAGTCTTGGGCTTTGAAGAAGCCCTGTAAAAACTTTGCTTTGGACATCCCGCTATAGGCTTTTTTTCCTCGACTTTTTTTTTTTCTTTTTAAAGATGAGCTCTGGTAGGTTTAGAAAGTGGGCTAAAAGAGGAAGAATATTTGATTTTTTAATTGACCCCCCCCCATAAAACAACAGCGCCCCACCCCCACTTCTTAAAGCACCAGCTTTTTGTGTACCAAAGCTATTACTAGGTTGTTACTACACATAGAAAATACCCTAGTCATGCTCGATTTTGTTGAAGAGCCAAGAGGGCGTTGGAGGATCACTGTGTGAAGGAACAAGGAAGCTCCATTAGCACTGAAAGTCCACCCCCCCCCACACACCCATCAGGCCCAGGAAGCTAAGCATCCGTGTACTTTACAAATGAAACCAAGGTCCTGCTGCTGATGAGAACTTTGCACAAAAGAATTAGTTTCTGGCGGTGGCTCTGAGAAGGCTGTGCAGATCCACACATTTACAGATACATTTACACAAACTGATGGTGGCACTTGCAGGCACAGGGGCAGGCTGCAGTTGGAGAAGGCGCCTGCTCTGAGTTCCAGGTGGATTTAATTTCACTCTCATTCCATTCCTTACAATGTGACACCCCCCCCCTTTTGTTAAAAAAGGAATTGTAATCCGATGCTTTTATCTTTTTTATTTCCTTAACTGCACATCTTCACCCTCTCGTGCTCCCCTGCTGATTTAAGAGATTTGTTTGGTTCAAGGATTTAACGTAATTCTGTTGCCAGATTTCAAGGAAGAAAGATTTGAAAGAACAAAGTACAAGGGGAGAAAGGTATCTGAAAGACAAGTTAAAACACATTTCTTAATATGAGATTAATAACATGCTTAAAACTTTGCCAAACAAGAATATTTTGCAGATTCTTAAGTCATTTTAGAAAGATTTAATTTTGTTGTCACTTCAAGAAAACTAGTGGGTTCTACCTAGGGTACAGCACACACGTGGTCACCCCACACACTTAGAAACAGACATGATCACACTCAGTAAGAAGCTCACACATAGGCACAGTCATATACTCAGAAATACACGCACCATCCCACAGCCTATCACCAACTCAGTGCTTATCAGTTGGTCCTTCTCCCCAGGACTTGTGGGCAATCCACTATCCAGGACCTTATAGGACCAAGAGGCTTTGCTTGGGGGAAAACTTCCCGCCAATGTCCAAGACCCATTAGGAACCACGCAAGCGCCCAGGGCGCTAGCCTGGCCCCTCTGGGTCTGGGATGGGACCAGGGACCGCCGCACGCCATCCCTGGCTTCAAGCCTGGCACCTCCCTTACGGAGCGGATGCATTCCGGCACCTCGGTTCATGCTCTCCCAGTTAAAGCGCGCATTTAGGGAGATGTCCCCTCCCCCCGACCTTTCCCTATCAGAAACCAGACGGTCGCCTCAGCTCAGTCCCCGGGGTTTGCAGAAGGGGGGCAGGAGGAGGAGGAGCTGGGCAGAGGAGGACGGCCCGACTCGGATGCGCCTGCCCTATCACACAGACGTCTGTTCTGTTTCTTCCTCTTTATGATCGCTACAGATGACAAGGGAAGTAGAGCGGACCGAGGCGGAAAAAAAAAAAAAGTTATGTCATAAAGATATAAAACGGTGCTGTGACTCACCTGCTCTTAGCCGCAGGTACGGGTTTCGTGGCAGCGTCTCCACTCTGCTAGCCAGGAGCCCAGATAGGCCTAACGTCACTCGGCTAGGTTGAGAAACTCAGATGACCGAGTTTCTAGTGAAGGGGCAAAAGTGGGGCTTTCTCCTTTTGCAAGCCTGAAATCAGGGGAAGGGGTTTGTCTGTATTCTCCAGTCTCCCAGGGTTGAACTTCGGGCCAGTAATCAGGACGGTGGGGGCTGGAAGCGGGCAGAAGAGCAAGAGGGGCGCGGGACGGGGCTGCAGCCGGCGGCCCCTGGAAGGCGGTGGGTCCCCCTGGGGAGGGACCCTGGGGTCATTTAGCTGGCACTGCCCTGCGAGCCGGGGCTCCAACGCCACCGCCCCCAGCCTTTCTCCGGCTGCGCGGTTCCTATCCAGAACCCTCGTTAGCATGCCCGGCCCCGCCTATTTTTCTTTTTTCCTCTTTCAAAGGGGGTTACCCCCCCCAACCCCATTTCCCTCTTCCCGCAGCCTCCGGGCTTAAACCAATTACGCTGCTTTGCAAACAAAGTGAGGGCCGGGTTTGAGGGAGGGGGCTCGGCAGGCAGGCGCGAAGTGATGCTGGCAGCGCCACCGCTGGGCAGAGGCAACTTGGCTGGACGCAGCGGGCGGTCGCCTCGCAGGTGCACCTCGGGCTTTGTAGGTGCGAGCGTCTTTGTGCGGCGGACAAATGGGGAGAGGACGAGGAGGTGGGCACTCGAGCGACGTAAGATCCACATCAGCTCAACTGCACTCGTCTCGCAGAGGCCACCCGCTCACTTCCCGCGGAGGCGCTCCCGGGCGCCGCGCTCCGCGGCACCGCCGCCTGCCCCGCCTGCCTCCGCCACGCGCACGCCGCCGCCCCGCAGCGCCTGGCTCAGCTCCTCCTTGCTAGGGTGGCGTTGGGCTGGCGCGGGCGTTCGGGTGACTGCAGCTGCTCGGCTCTCCGCCCCCCGCCCTGCGCCGCGCGGCTGCCCCGTCGCTTCGCACAGGGCTGGATGGTTGCATCGGGCAGGGTGGCTCCAGGATGTTAGGGACTGTGAAGATGGAAGGGCATGAGAGCAGCGACTGGAACAGCTACTACGCGGACACACAGGAGGTGAGAGGCGGGCGGCAGGCGGGACGCTCCCGAAGCCGGTGCGGGGGGACAACCGGCAGGGTGGGCGGCTGGCGGGCTGTGGGCGCCTTCTCTGTGCCATCGCTGCCTGCCCACCCCCCGATGTGATCCGAACCAGGCCTTGGTCGGGCCTTGGAGCCGATCCGCTGCCCCGCGAGGGAGGCTGGATCTCGGCGCTTGGAGCGGGCCAGAAGGTTTTAGGAAACTGTGGGCTTTTAAAGCACCCTCTCTGGAAAGCACTTGCCTCTTTGCGGAGAGCGAGAGCCGGAACCAGGCCCGGGGTGCCACGGGTTGGCGGGCGGGCGCCGGCACGAGTTGGAGGTAACTTTAGGAAAGACAGAGCTTGTCTGCAGGGCGACCTCTTCCTCCCATGGTTGAATTCGAAGATGTCTTCAGATGAAAGCGCGCCGCCGTTAAGTTGAGCGTCTTAATAATGAAACGATTCCGAAATTTTATGAAACTTCTTTAAAAGCCCTGTTTCGGGAGAAGTGTGCTCATTCTACCGTAGAACCGCTGGGTGGCGCTGGTGCGAACTGACTTTTCCTCCAGCACGGCGAACCGGGAACCTGTTTCTCTTCATTGTCCCCTTGGTGGCACGTTCATGTGGTTTATTTTACAATGTGCACAAAGGGATTGTGAGGAAAACCAGGTACAGGCAGGACCACCATCTACTAGAAATATTTCCCTGGAAACAGCTGGCGATTAACCCCCAAAAGTTCACCATTGTTAAAAACACTTAATAATATTGCCTTGGAATAATCTTGGGGAGAAGAAAAGAAAAAAAAAAAAAAACGAAAGTAAAAAATACTTTAAGACATGGACAGAAAAATGTAGAATCAGGAAATATTTTTATGGTAATTGTTTTATTTAGATTTGTATATTTTTATATTTACAAACTTAGCTTGAGTTTATTTGCATACCATAGCAGAGTGTTAAATCTGTACAGATTTTATGTTTTCAAATGGAATTGTATTTGCTGATGAAAAAATTTATATTATGTTTATTAAATTATCAGAAGTTTTTATGTTTCTGACTGTATACTGTTAACATATATAGTGCATTCACAAATTGCTGTTGATAAGGGTTTTCTCCTACTGTTGACTTAAAAATGAGCTCAGAATTCTTCCTCGGGTTTAATTCAATGCAGTCATCTTGACCCACTAGTCAATGAAGTCCCCTATGGAAAGAGCTTCCTTATAGGTTAAAGCTGAGAATTGGGAAATAGAATAGCATTAAGAGAAAGTAAGTCGACTTTGATTTAGAAATTTAAAGTGAGATTTTAAAGCCAGTCTTTGAGATGATCCGCAGCAACGTAACAGTATGTGAAACAAAATAGATTATACCAACAAACTGTGTCACGAAAATTTTTAAATGTTATGGGGCTGAAAATAGATAACGAAATTGATGCAAGTTTTTGAATGTCTTAAAGAGATGTACATGTGAAGTCATGCTAAAGTTAAGTGTAGTGCATTGATATTATTAATCACCCCTCCCTGCCCCTTCTCTTCTTGTAGATCTATTTTTAATTTTTCTCCAAACTTATTTAACTTGAGTTTCTTTCCCTTTTAATATTACAGTTGCTACAAGTAGATGGGAAACACTACTCGTAAATATTATAACAAAGTCACCATTTGGGAAAAAAAAAATGCTAAGGGTGTATAAAGCCAGTTGTTGAGAAATGGATGGGTCATACGGCCAGGAATGATTAGTCCTATCAGGGAGAGTTTAATTAACAGCCACCCCGTACAACAGAGTGCTCCGCGGTCAGCTCAGGCTTAGGCAAGATAGGCACAGAGCTGGTGTTTCTGTTGCACACCCCCAGGCTGCACCGCCTTTTTTCTCTAGTTTGGTTAAAACTCCTTTTAACCAAAAGGGCTTTGCTGAGGCCGGCCTGGGGTGGAGACTGGGATACCAACTGGCGTGGATGGGGTAGGCGATGGAGGGACCCCAGAAGCCGGCCCCTGGGCCTGGCATGTAAGGCGATTACACATCTTCCTGGGGACATATTTTCTGTGAGCGCTTCTCTTTCATGCCTGCCGCGATAGGATTTTTCCCCTGCCGCGCAAGACATTTTTTTGCTCTTTCTAGGGAGGGCGCCTGACGGTTTGCCCCGGGTGGGGGGTCCTATGCTTTGCAGAAATGCTCTCTGCAAATCTCCGGGTTTGCCTCGGGAGGATCGGCCGCCCGCGCCCACCACTAACCCCGCCCTTTGGGGCCTCTTCACTTGCTATCTCTGCTCCAGGCCTACTCCTCGGTCCCCGTCAGCAACATGAACTCGGGCCTGGGCTCTATGAACTCCATGAACACCTACATGACCATGAACACCATGACCACCAGCGGCAACATGACCCCAGCTTCGTTCAACATGTCCTACGCAAACCCGGGCCTGGGCGCCGGCCTGAGTCCGGGCGCGGTGGCTGGCATGCCAGGAGGCTCCGCGGGCGCCATGAACAGCATGACGGCTGCGGGCGTGACGGCCATGGGGACAACGCTGAGCCCCGGCGGCATGGGCGCCATGGGCGCGCAGCCCGCGGCCTCCATGAACGGCCTGAGCCCCTACGCCGCTGCCATGAACCCGTGCATGAGCCCCATGGCGTACGCGCCGTCCAACCTGGGCCGCAGCCGAGCGAGTGGCGGCGGCGACGCCAAGACTTTCAAGCGCAGCTACCCGCACGCCAAGCCGCCCTACTCGTACATCTCGCTCATCACCATGGCCATCCAGCAGGCGCCCAGCAAGATGCTCACGCTAAGCGAGATCTACCAGTGGATCATGGACCTCTTCCCTTATTACCGGCAGAACCAGCAACGTTGGCAGAACTCCATCCGGCACTCGCTGTCCTTCAACGACTGCTTCGTCAAAGTGGCGCGATCCCCGGACAAGCCAGGCAAAGGCTCCTACTGGACGCTGCACCCGGACTCCGGCAACATGTTTGAGAACGGTTGTTACTTGCGCCGACAGAAGCGCTTCAAGTGTGAGAAGCAGCCAGGGGCCGGGGGCGGAAGCGGGAGCGGAGGCGGCGGCGGCGGCGGCGGCGGCGCCAAGGGCGGCCCGGAGAGCCGCAAGGACCCCTCGAGCGCCGCCAACCCCAGTGCCAATTCTCCCCTTCATCGGGGCGTGCACGGTAAGGCGGGCCAGCTAGAGGGCGCGCCGGCCCCCGGGCCTGCTGCCAGCCCCCAGACTCTGGACCACAGCGGGGCGACAGCGACAGGGGGCGCCTCGGAGTTGAAGACTCCAGCCTCCTCGGCGGCGCCCCCGATCAGCTCTGGGCCAGGGGCACTGGTTTCTGTGCCTCCCTCCCACCCGGCGCATGGCCTGGCACCCCACGAGTCCCAGCTGCACCTGAAGGGGGACCCCCACTACTCCTTCAACCACCCCTTTTCCATCAACAACCTCATGTCCTCCTCGGAGCAGCAGCACAAGCTGGACTTCAAGGCGTACGAGCAGGCACTACAGTACTCGCCCTATGGCGCTGCGTTGCCCGCCAGCCTGCCGCTCGGCAGCGCCTCGGTGGCCACCAGGAGCCCCATCGAGCCCTCAGCCCTGGAGCCAGCGTACTACCAAGGTGTGTATTCCAGACCCGTCCTAAACACTTCCTAGCTCCCTGGGACTGGGGGTTTGTCTGGCATGGCCATGCTGGTAGCAAGAGAGAGAGACACACAGAGAGAAAATCAACAGCAAACCAAACCACACATATCGAGCCGACAACAGCATAATAAAATCCCAACTATTTTTATTTCATTTTTTTGTGTGTGTGTGTGCACAATCTTTTCCCCAGTGCAAAGGACTGTTACTTTGTTATTGTATTCAAAATGCCTTGTGTATATTATTACAAAGAAAACCCATCCCAAACCAACAAAAAATTTTTTCCTGCCAAGTTTAACGATCCACAAATGTATATATAAAATCTTCCTATTTCCTTATTCCTGTCCCTTCCCTCTTTTCCCTCCAGACACATTCCAGTCTGTGCAGGGTTTATTTAAAAAAAAGAAGAAGAAGAAGAAGAAGAAAGATGGTCAAACTTGTAAAATATTTGTTTGTGCTTCCCCCCCTTCCACCACCTGACCTCTCCACAAGTTTACAGGTCTATGGCAATACTCTTAACCATAAGAACTGAAAGAGTGAAGAAACAAATAGACACTAGGGACTATTAAAAGTATTTGAAGGACAATACTGCTGTTATGCAGCAAAACATAAACTGATTATAAACATCAGAGCCATTTGTTATTCAGCTTACATTTCTGATACATTCAGATATGGAATACATATATATTATGTACGAACTTATTTATGCACATGCTCAGATATGTAGACATCCTCCATATATTTGCATAACATATAGAAGTAATACGTAGGTGTTATACATGCTACATTTTCAAGAGTTGCCTGACCAAGAAGTTACAAAGACACCCCTCTCCCTTGTCCTCTCTACCCACATATAGCCCTGGGAATCAATTCCTCAAGAATTGCAATCCTCAATAACTCTGCTCCTTGCTTTGCAGAGTGCCATTGTCATGTCATTCTGAGGTCACAGAACATGTATAAAATTAGCTTCTCTGTATCTATACCATTTAAATAATATTTTTTTTCCAGGAAAAAGGGAATATTACAATGTTGGAGGAGAGATAAGATATAGGGAGTGGTATTTCAAAATTTGGTCCAAGATCCCAAAATCCAATTGATTGTGGCCATTTTAATTATTGCCATCATGTGCTTGTTTCATTCAGTGTTAATGCACTTTTCACAGCTGGACATGGTGTTAGTATAGCCAGACGGGTTTCATTCTTCTTCTTTGCTTTCTCAATGTTAATTTATTGCATGGTTTATTCCTTTTTTTTTTCCTTTATAGTTGAAATTACTTTAAATGATGGTTAAAATTACAAATTAAAAATGTTAATTTTATCAATGTGATTGTAATTAAAATATTTTGATTTAAATAACAAAAATGATAAATTTTAAGCCGTGGAATATGTTCTTGATCATTTGCAGTTAAGGACTTTAAATAAATCAAATGTTAACAAAAAAAAGTATTTCTGTTATTTTCCTTAATTAAGTCCAAAATAGGAATTCTGATTATGATATTTTGCAAAGTCCGGCACTGAATATAAATGGCAAAAAGGAAAATGACCTAAAACAAAATTGTTTTGTTTATGTTTATTACCTGAACTTGAGGCTAGTAAAAAGCAGTTACAGTAATGCAATAAAAGTGGGTAGATAAATTGATGTGATATCCCAATAATTGAGATTTTTAAGATTGTTTATTCCTGGTAATGTTTACTTCAGTTTTTGAGATGAGCTTAAGCCTTCTATGTTTCCTTTGAGCCTGTCCACAATGAAATCAAATTCATTAATATAACTACTGTGCCCCCTTCCTCAATGTATAATTTTCCCTTATCTGAGAAGTATTCTAGGAGAATAAAATATCATATGTGGCTGATAAAATTAAGTTGTCCACAACAAAGAATCCTGAACTCTCTCTTTTTTTTTTTTTTTTTTTTCCATTAAAAGAGAAACAAAACTCAACCATCATGGTTGCTTTGGAGGGGGTGAAGGGGAGGCAAGTTAATTCACTCCTGCAGGGGAAGCTTTGTGCCATCAGGACATTTCAGGGTAGCTGCTATTTTGTATTTTGTGAAGATACTTCTAAAAATACGGTTTCTAAAAATATCATTCCTGAGAACTTAAAGCTGATTTGTTTGCCTTCTAAGAAGCTTTTAAATGCAACTTCACACCCCTACAGTTGCTTGAGATCACAAAATCATTAATCTCCTTTGATAGTAGGCTCACTTTCCAGTCCACCTATTTCTTTGTAAGTCTTGTTCGGATTGACATCAACAATAACAACACCAGCCCAAGCAGAGGCTAGCCTGCCTGAGCCCCTGTGTATGAACTCCATCCTCGCCAAGGCTTGAACTTGGACAGCCTTTACTTTGATCGCCCCACTCCACACTGCGGACAAGATAAAAAGAGCTGTGTGAGTCCCTTAATTATCGCGTAATTGCCTCCCCAGATGAGAGAAGGGGTGGCGTGTAGCACTTGAGAAAAATCCAGAAATCCAAGCCCTCCCCCCCACCCCCCGACACACACTTCAGCTAATGAAAGGAGGAGAGAGAAATAACTGGTTTGAATAATTTCAAAACCTAATTTAGAGGCCTCTCGGGAGGACATTAAAGTCCCAAAGAGAGGAAAAAGCTTTCAATCTCAATAGTTACTTATATTTATATAGCAGGTAAACAAAAGTTGGTAAATTCGAATTCCAAATGTGATATGAGGGCGTGAGTTTGGGCCTAGGAATTTTACCAGCCGCACTGAATCTAAATCGTCTACCCCTCGGTGATGTTCCCTTCCTCTCTTTAACAAATTAGCAATATCAATGTTTTGCTTCACCCTCTGGGCTTAAGTCGGCCTTAGCTCTCTGTTACTTGGCAAAGACTTTTTCTAGGCTTGCGGGGGGCGAGGCGCCGTTGGCTGACCACAGAGGCTACTTTGGAAATCTGCCTGAGAAGCTAGCACGGTGGATCTCGGGGAGCTGGTCTCGTGGGGTTCTCAGGCGATTTTCCGCCACCTCTGGGCAGTAAACCGCCCCCTCCCCCCTCCCCGGGCACCTTGCGCGAGCTCTGCAACGTCTGGCCGAGGTGATCTGCGCCCCGCGCGTTAAGTTGTGCGCCGTTTGGGGCAAAGGCAGCCGGTTGCCGGGGAAGAGGGACAGAGCAGGCCCGCAAGCATCTCGGGGTGACAAGTGCAGTTAGTTCTTCATTGTTTGGGCATTTTCCCCTCCTAGCGAATAAATCTTCTGTTGAGCCCGAGACCTAAAAGTCAACAAAGAAGGCCAGGCGTCGCTTTACCGCTACTGTGGCCCAACGCCCGCGTTGCCGCGGCTGCTCCCGCTGCGTAATCCCTTCCTCGGAAACCCGGACACACAAACGCCGGAACGCCCGGGGCTGGGGCGCCGCGCCCCAGGGCCAGGAGGAAAACATCTGTGGTTCCGAGGGAGTGCCGGGACCCTCCTCGAGCGCGGCACCTTCTCGTGACCCCCGCCCGCCCCCCTTTTCGTCGTCGAGTTTCTGTATTTCTTCACCTCGGACGCTCCCGTAGATGAGGGCCGGAAAGGGGATGCTGACCGCTCAGCCGCGGGCCACCGGGCTCGCTTTATTTAGGAATTTCCCTCGTGGTGGGGGAGGGGTCTCCGGATGGGGCGGGAGGGAGTGAGAAGAAAAAAAACCCAAAAAACAAAACCCTTCCTACAGACCCTAGAGCAAAGCTGCCGAGGCCCTCCGATGCAGTGACGACGCCACCACTGAGCACTTTTAGAAAAAAACAAAACTGTTTTGGGAGTGAGTGGAGTCCAGGGGAAGAGAACTTTACATTAACTTTCACCTGGTTCCGGGACTGACGCATTTTTTAAATTGATATAAAGAGAAGAAGACAACTAAACACAGATAGGGAAGAAGAAAAGCTCACCAGAAACTACACAACTTAGAAGTGTTCCCAAGTAGAAGGCAGCTCGGTCTGTTTCTACATGATGGCTATTACAGTGTGTACGTCACAAATAAAATGTAATTTCCATTGTCCCTTCTTGAACTCTTCATAGCAGAATAAGCTGGTGAGAATTATTAAGGGAGGAGGGATTAAACAAGCAATCCTATTAAAGTTCTTAACTTCTGTTTTCATTTTCTGAAGCCTAGAATACTCAACTGATTTCACTGAAAGCATACAAAAAAACATTGTTTTTCTCAGGAGTCTAACAGATTTGAATGATCTACAGCATAAAAGAGTTCCTGGAGTGATAAAATGTAAAAATTTTGTTTTGGCACTTTGAAAAATTGATCTCAGTTCCACAAAAATGCTTATTCAGTTTCTTTGCAAAAACTTCTGCGATCAATTCAAATTCCTTTCAATGCAGACCAAAGTAGGAGACCTGTAGCCCAAATTAATTAACCTTTCCTTAAGATCAATTGGTTTTCTGTTGATTTAGCAGTAATAATGTAGAACATTTAGCTATAATGTATTTTAATGTGATACTTCAATATGTCAAGAGGAAATACTCATTGAAAAGATAAAATTGCTTAAATTATTTAATAGATGTTTAATAAATTTGTAGAAATATTTTATTTTCAAAAATTAAATCTTAATCGCTTATTTGAATTGTAGTAAAATGTGTTTTGCAACTAAATGGAGTTAAGATAATGTCTAATTAGTTCGAGATAATTATGTGCAAAACGTTGGCTATTTGTAAACTACCTTGGACAAAATAGGTCAATAAGTTATGCAGAAATTTAGAAATAAGATTTTCTCAAATACAAGGAATCATTAACATCAATAGAAACTCATGAGAGTAAGAGTGTAATAAAATGAAACAAGTTGGAAGATTCTACAACCTTTTCATCTAGAAATAGAATCTATTTGGGGAGATATAAGGTGTGTTGTTTTTTACAGCAGCCATTTCTGCAAGTTTTATTTTCTACCACTGATCCTATTTGGTGTATCCAAATAACATTTAACAGATTAAATGTTCTGGGTTTTTTTCTTCCAAATAGTTACATATAAGGCCATAATGGTTTCATTGGTGTCTCTCTTTTAGCTCCCAGTCTAGCTGGGTT